TCGAAAGACACGTGCCCTGCCAGGGGTCTGTCCAGAGGGACCGCTCCTGCTCAGGCTGAACAGCGCTGGGCGTGCGGGAGACGTGGGGGCGGAGATGTGGGGGAGGGGTGGAGAGGGCTCGGACCGCGACCGCGAAGGTGTCCCCTGGCACACGCCAGCCTGGCTGTCTGTGGTCTCTCACTCTCGGCCACCTCGACCCTCCCGCACAGGTAGATTCTGGGTCAAAACGCCCCACGCACCAGGGGACTGTCCTCCTCTGGTCCTGTCGTGGGCGGGTCCTGTCACTGTGGGTGCCGTCAGCTGTGTTAAACAGATGCCACACACAGGCGAAGACGCGGGACTCAAGGACCATCAGGAGGAAACTAATACAAGAACGGACTGCGTGGAAGGGCGTGGACGACCAGAGAGGCGCACACAGGACCGAAGAGCCCGGGGAAGGTGGCCGACTGCGGAACGGGCACTCGAGATGTGGCCTTGGCGGTTCCCACGACGAGGTCAATGTTGAATGAATAGACAGCAGAAGAAAAGGCGGCGAGAGAGGCTGTAGTTAGAGTTGACCTGAGAGGATTAAAGAACTCCACTGGCCCTGGCTGGTGTGGCTCAGTGGATTGGACCCCGGCTTGCAAAAGGAGGGCCTCCGGTTTGATTCCTAGTCAGGGCACATGCCTGCGTTGTGGGTCGGGTCCCCAGTAGGGGGCGCATGAGAGGCAACCACATGGATATCTCTCTCCCTTTCTACCTCCTTCCCCCTCTCTCTAAAAGTAAATAAATAAAGTCTTTAACAGGACTCTCCTGAGGGAGAGGTATCTCCAGTCATGAAGAGTCCTGCAGTGAAAAGTCGCATTTTTAAAACGTTTCAAAGAAGCACCCAGCCCGTGGGTTATTTCATTGAAACTGTGGTCCATGCTGTTCCCACCCTTTCCTCTTGACGGGCCTTTCACATCAGAGACTATGACGAGTGTGTTGAGATGGTGGAGGCCAAACAAGAAAACACTGAAATGACAGGCCACAGGCTCACAGAGGGCGTGGCAGGGTCTTCGGTCCCCCACTTTGTCCAGCCCATCAGCAGCAGGAGAGTGCACTCTGAGTTTCGTATTAACCGGTATCCAACGTGTTCTGTCACTTGGAAGCAAACCCAGGGAGCAGCGCAGCCCGGAGTCCTGGAGACGTCCACAGGCAGGCCCGGGGACTGCGGGTCTGAAATCAAAAGGACCGCCGCCGCACTTCGGCCAGCCGCAGGAGCGTTACTGAAGCCCTCCTGGATTAAGGGGCTTGTCTGGCCGTGAATAAATCACCGGAATAATTGGAAACAGAAGTAGCTGTTGCTGTCCTTTCCTCAACGGCCAGACGCTTCAGGAGACCGTGTGCCCAGCAGCCCGGCACTGCCCTGGAGGACGCTGCAGTCAGTGATGGTTCCCAGGAGCCGTTAATGGGCATTCCGCACTTCAACTGGTCTGTTAATGGGTGACCTTCAATCCGAACGCTAATTTGGGGAAACCGCTAATTTTCCTGCCCTCGGGTTTCGCCCCCAGACTAGCTCATTTAAGTACAATTTCACTTTTCCAACAAGATAAAAAGTTATATGGAATTTGATTTGCTATGGAAATACTTGCCTCTTAAATATTAGATTCACAGCGCATTCGAATACATTAAAATTAACGTTAATGTTACAACTATTAATAATAAAGTTCTGTCCTCCCATATTTACGCTGGGGGGTAATGTAGGTTCTGAGGCTTTGCTGAAACGCATCTACTGCTAATAACTATGGTTTTGGGAATCCCTACTATGTGCCAGGTGATTTATATACATTATTAATCTCCCCCCAGACGTTGTCAGAAGTGTAAGGCTTCAAATTAAGAGATGGACTCTGTGGCTCAAAACACAAGCAGCGAAAGGCCGAGAATGGTCCCCGCAGCCCCTGGGGGCGTTGGGCTTGAACTCAGGCCTGCGCGAGTCCAGACCCCCGTGTCTCCCACCGCAGCAAGTCGCCAGGATTTTTTTTTCCTTAAAGAAGAGAGAATCATCTCAGTCCATTTGGGAACAATTCTGTCTTTTTATCTTAAAACCTTGCAGAGCCGAACGCGACGCCACTGTCCTGACAGCGGGTCCCGCGCCCCGGGGTGGTCGTCTCTGCGAAAAGACCCTCCACGGCCGGCACTAGATGGCGCAGAGGCATTGTTGCAGCGTTCGGGACGTAACGTTCTCTGGATTCCTAGTGGAAAGTGTTCCTAGCGTAAGTGAATCCACTTTTTCATGCGTTTTCTACATTTATGACACTCACTTTGACGTTAGTTCCCGTCGAACTCAGAAACTTCCACTTTCTCATAAATCACGTTAAGTGGCGCCACCTACCGACGACGCGTGATATTGCTGCCTAATATCAGAAACAAATTCTTGAGATTTTTAGAATCGGGAGACACCGTTCTGTCAAGTTTTCGGACTACAGAAGGCGTATTCCTGGAGGAATGTGGATGTCTGGAGTATGAGCAGTCACAGAATATGCGTTGCACATCTTCCTGGCTTCTCGATTTTATTGAATGTTTATGTATGAATACAAGCATGTATCTGCAAACTTGACCTGAATTCTTTACCTATTTGAGGAAGACAAATACCATGCGACTTCACTTTGTGCAAAGGGTCTAGAGAACCATGTAAATGAACAACCAAAACAAAGACAGACTCCTGGACCCAGAGAGCAGACTGGTGGCTGTCAGAGGCGGAGGGGGGGGGCGGGCAGGTGGGGGAGCCGGAGGAAAAGGGCGAAGGGAGGGAGGAGTACGGATGGGAAATTACAAAATAGGCACGAGGACGAAAAGTACAGCACAGGGAACGTAGTCGGGAATATTGTAAAAACCGTGGGTGGCGCCGGGTGGGGACTGGAAATATCGGGGACCACTGTGTAAAGCATAGGATTCCCTAACCACTATGCTGTACACCTGAAACTCATACCAATAACACTGAATGTCAACTTAAAGGGAAATTAAAACACCACCAAAAATTGGGGGAACTCGAGAACTTCCGTAGCCTGGGAATTGCCGAGAACCGGTGACATTGCTGGCGTCACAACCTCCCACGTGAGAAACCTTTGCCGGTTCTCTGCTGCCTGGGAACCACGGGCAGGTTCTCGGCCTGGTGATCCGTCTCCCGTTGCTACAAGGTTTTGAATTCAGTTCTACCTGGAGGTGTTTGGTTGGAAATCTGCCATTCACTTTATTACGTCAAACAACAACTAAATCGCTAGCACTAGCTTTCTAACGCCGTCAGCCCTCTGGAATATGTCTGCCCCTGTGTCAAGGAATTACTCAAATGCAGGCCAATGTGTTGGGTGCGGCTTCGACGTGACACTGGCGATGAGTCTACTTATCGCTTGACGTGCCACTATAACACGGTTGCCTGACACTGTTGCCTTTGAGTTGCTCTTCATTCCCTGAGAAAGTCAGGGGACGTGGGTATGGCCCCACAAAAGACAGACCACTTCGAGATCTCGAACAATGGCTCACAGTGAAATCCAAATGTGAGGCCACAGAGGGAAGAGCTGAGACCAGTGTGCGGACACATCACCACCACAAAGCACCCGACCGGGTTCCGCTTGTGCCCGGCAGGGGCTGCCCCGTTGCTGCCCTCGGCTTGGCCTCCCAGTAGCTCGCCCAGGAGGAAACTGCGTGGTTTCCCACAGCTGGTGCGTGAGATGCAGGGAGGCTCCAGGGCTGCTGTTGGATGCCAGAGCTATGGCCCTCATTCCCCTAGCCCTGCTGTCCTGGAGAGGCCCTTTGCTCTTTGCAGAATGACTCTATCCTCACGTCACCATGGACACGGGCAACACACCCAGGAGCCGGACCCTGAGCAAGCGCTAATGGAATGGGAGAAAACCCAGGTTAAGGGAGACCTAATTTAATTTGAACCCTCCACTTCCTTATATTGAAAAACGCCATTTTAACTTCGAGAAATTTGCAAATAATTAATCCATGTGCTAGGATTAACCTTTAATGTTTTATGGGAAAGACAGATTTCTGTCATCTTATCAGAATCCTGGCAAACTAGGAATGATATCAAAATAAAGGGTAGTTTTTCTTTGGGGAAAAAATGGTTCGCAGATGAAGTGCCTGCGTCTCTCTTCTAGGGTCAGAGTGGTGGTCTGGGCAAGGGGTCCTCTTCTCAGCCACTGGGGGTTCGGATTAAATCGGGTCCCACTTAAGTCGGCCCTGCTCCTGTGGCATGAGCCAGTGCACATCCTGCCAACTTTTGGCCACTTGCAAATCAGGAATCGGGTGACTTCGGTAATAGAAACAGGATCGCTAAATCGCTGTGTACGGTGAGCCCACCGAGAGAAGCTTCTGGTACGCAGGCTTGGCTTTCATTCTTCGGGGCGCACCTCGGTTGGACACTTAACCCACAGCTGGACGTTGATCTCACTATGACTTTTTCACTAATCTGAGAAAATAGGAATTTTTTAATGCCAAAATGTTTTGGGGTCACTGACTTGTTCCATTCTGTTGTTGTTCTGACCCACTTACACTGAAGGGCTGCCCAGGAACGGCTGGTCCCTGTACCAGGCAGCGGCAAAAACAGAACTTTCGGGGACTCCTGCAGGAGAAGGCCAATCCTCCGAGTCCAGAGGCGGGAGGAGCAGACGGGGGCACAGAGGGCTCGACTTTCCGAGCGAGGCTCCGCCCCTGCCTTCCGCCTGGCACTTCAGTGTTTCCGCAAACTGAACATAAAAAGCTCCAGTTGGAACAACGCGGCGCAGTTTGTGGACGTTGATGCCGGGCCGTCCCCATGTCGCGCCAGGGTTGTTCCACGTGCCTGCGGCCTTGGCCGTTGGGCCTCGTGGTTTCAGATGCTTCTCGCAGCCCTGCCCCCTGTGGGTCTCATACGCCTCCCAGAGAGTCTCCGTGGGGTCCTGGCAGCATGTTTAGTAAACGGACGAACTTCATGCTTCCAAATCCGCCCAATCCTCAGACACCTGTCCTGCCACCAAGTAATTTCATGGCAATAAAAGTTGGATGCATTCGTTTTTCATTTTAATTGGTTTGAGAAGTCAGGGTAATGCTCTTTATTAATAACTACTCAAATCCACAGAGGGGTAACAAACAAACAAACAAACAAAAAAACAACGCAGATTTAACTGCAAATCCCCAGACTTCGGAACCACTTCTGTGCAAAGGTGTGCACGCCCCTGAGCAGGACCCGCCAGGTTGGGACTGTGCCTTCCGTCATCCTTCCTCCTGGCATGAAGCAGGCACCCAGCTGCGTAGGGAATCGCCTCAACTCTCTCCCCTTTGTTCGTGGGGAGCCACTCATGTGGTTTGAGGAGGGTGCAACGTCCTCAGTCCTGCTTACAGCGTCGCCGGCCCCCAGAGACGCACGGACCCTCGAGTCGAGTCGAACCGGCCCAAGACCTGGGCCCCCATATGAACCAGGGAGCAGGGAAGGACAAACCACCGCAGTGACGGCCCCCCGGGGCACAGACACGTGCGTCAACAGGCAGCATGGCTGCTCCCCACGGGGACTTGCAGAAACCGTACAGCCACCCCATAAACCCATCAGCCATGTGCTCAGGGGTCCCGGGGCGCAGCGTGTCCTCTGCCTGCCAGTCTCATCTCGAGGACACGCCTGGCCGTGCCGTGGGTCACAGAATCCTGGCCCGCAGACTTGATCTGGCTCTCAGCTGTCACAAGCCTTTTCCCCCATCCACGCCAAAGGGAACAGCACAGGGTGGCGGGGCAGAAGACACGCAGCCGGACCGAAGACATGAGCCACAGGGCCCGGAAGAGCGGGGCCCCGGCCTGGTGCTCCCCGCGCCCGCGCACCCCTCTGCTCGCGCACACGGCTTACTGGGCGACTTTCTTTTCGGAGGAGAGATCTATAAAAAAACAACAGGAAGATGTTTCAAATTAAAAAGAAAAGATTCACTTCTCTTCTTTGGATTTAGGGTGAGCGCACACTTCTGGGCTGGTGAAAGAGAAATACTTTATTCACGAGCTGCCCCCAGGTGCGCTCCCAGGCCCCCTGAGGCGGGAAGGGGGCAGCTCTTGTCTGAAGCCCTGACACAGGCTTGCTGTGTGGCGAGGTCCCATGTGGCCCAGTCCCAGTCACACCGAACACCTGTCCCATGTTCTTCCCATGCAGGCTGGCATTTGGGTGGCTCGGGCATTTGCTTATGACAGAAAAGTCACTTGAGTGGCCATAAGGGGCAGTTCTTGACCTGCAGAAGCATAACTTGCCAAATAAACTACTTCTAAAATAGGGCACCAGGCACTGGACCACCAAAGCCCTGGAAGAGATCTCAGTCTCCTGGCGCACTCACACTGAGACTGCGGGGCTCGGGGAGGCCGGGGTGAAGAGTGCGGGACGTTTCAGTAGGGCCCCGGTAAGATGCCACAGGCAGGTACCCCGGGGAGACACATTCGAGGGGGCCCACTCGGGGACACGGGAACAGAACCACAGACGTGCCGAGCAATACGGGGTGCTCCTCGTTCACGACGACGGCGCGGGCTGTGCCAGTGTCCCCTCCTTGCCGCCCTGCGTCTGGGCTTTCAGACAGGCCGACCAGACATCTGAGCGGCCGGGACCCGGTGAGTGGCCTTTCCAGGCAGAAGCGTGGGCCTTGCTGCACAAAGGCACCTCACATGTTGGCGTCAGCAGCTGGGACCCGTGTAACCCGCCGAGGTGAGCAATCTCACGTTTAGATTTAATCTGTCCACGGTGCCTACTCCGAGGCTCTTATGACTCGAAGAAAAATAAACTCAGGGGCCAGGGCCACTGTCCCCCGCGCTCTCGGTGCAGAGACCGGGGCTTCCAGGATCATCCAGGGCAGAGTGGAAACCCTACCAAAAGCAAAGACGGGGCCTCCGGGGCCTCTGTTCCTGGAAGGGAAGACGGAGAACACCCTGCGGCGCAGGAGGCGAGACCCTTCCCTCGAGAGATGTTGCTCCATGACCGCCAGGCAAGAGAAACGCCACAGGGAGTCACGGGGCGCAGGGCATAGGCAGAGCTGGCTGTGCCTTGCTGGTGGGCAGCACCGCCCCACCCCCTCCCTCACGGCGACACTCACGCCCTGTGCTTTGTGGGCACACAAGTGCGGGTGACATGCGTGAGGCTGGTGTGACCTCAGCAGGACCCAGGGAAGGCCCTGCCTCTCCCCAGAATCGGCGGTACCCCGAACTCTGCTGGTACTAAGAGGGGTGGGGAGGACGGTCCACAGAGCGGGGCCGGAGGACCGAGGGAGCCCTGCCTGTCCCCTCCGCCCTCTAACCTCTTAGAGCCAGTACCTGGGCCCCACCGGGAAGGAAACCTGGCGAGTGGGCATCCCTCCCCGCCGGGATGCGGTGGGTGAGACACCCCCGCCTCTCTTCCCCACGAGCCGGGGCTTCCACGAAGAGAACCCCTGGTGCAGCTGTGGCCGCTCTGCACTGACTGTGCGCACTGTCCTCCTGAGACCACGACCACATGTAGTGCACATGCACACACGTGTATGTGCATACATGTATGTACACACCTACACACGTGTCCACGCACACTGTTGTTAATGGCCATGTTTTGCATTTGCTTTAGTATTTAATTAGAATATTAATATGTGCTTATGAATCCATATCTGAAAAGGAATATATTTACCACCTATATTTCCAGATATTCCTGTACATTTGAAACATACTTTCACACTTTAACATTCCCTTAGCAAAGTCTCCGAGTTCAGCCGTAAGCTGGCTTTTATGACGTTATAAGGTGAAGGGCATTTCTCCTGTAATTTTTTTCTAAAAATGTAGGAATAGGCATAAAATTATCTACTATAATAACCACTGATAAAATTATTAAAAATGTATTTTTAAAAGAAAAATATTCTTAATATTTCATCTACCTGAATTGAAAATCATACTAAGTATGGTCCCAAGTTTTTTGTTTCTTCCATCTGTTAAGTAGCTTTTACTATTTATATGGTTCCTTTTACTGCTTCACATGCAACTGATCCAGCCATTTCAGCATCATAAAATCACACGTAATGTTTACACATAAAGACAGTTGTAAACAGACACGGTCTGCAGAGTAAAGATTCTGACTTTTGGAACAGGACTGTCAGAATTTATCTGGATAAAATGCGTACAGACTGTGTGGTATTTTTCTTCGTGTGCAGTGTGGACTGAGGACAGTCCCCACCACCTGGCGCCCACGGCGTGGACTTGGGCTCGGACTGGCTGGGCCCGCCTACCTTCCGCCAATAACTAGCTCGCCCTGCCAACCAGCCCCATCCCCGCTCTGTGCCTCGGCTCCCACACCGTAAACCAGGGCCACAGCCACACTCATTTCACGGGGCTGACGTGAGGCTTCTCGGACACGATATCTGCAAAGCGTTTCTGGCATTCAGTTCGTGTTACGTATGGGCTGAACCGTGTGCTCCTTTGAGATATGCTTGGGTCGTAACCCCACTAACTGTGCATGTGACTTAGAAGCAAGGACTTTTCAGACGTGGCTGGGTTCACAGGAGGTTCTGCTGGGCGAGGCTGAGGCGGTACAACCGGTGTCCTTCTCAGGACTGGCCCCCGTGGCCTCAGATGGAGAGGTAAGATGGCCCTGCAAAGGGAGCCGAGGGCAGCTGGGGCTGCTGGACTTGGGAAGAAGGAAGGAGGGGGCCTCCCTTCCGGCCTCTGGAGGAGGCGTGGCCCTGCCGGCACCTCGATTTGGGGCTTGAAGCCTCTGGAGCAGGGAGGGAATGTGTTCTGCTGTTCAAGCAAACCCCGTCTGCGGGCCTGGCTAGGCCAGCCCTGGGAAGAGAAGTCAGCCGCAGTGACGCAACCAGCTGTTCCTGGACATCAGCAGAGGCCAGTCGGATCGGCTGGGCTCTGATCTGGTTACACCAAGAACCCGGTGCCCATCGGCAGTGCACACGCCGCACCCACACCTCCCCCGGTGCCTGCGCCTGGACCCGCAGCTCTCGAGCGGGGCAAAGTCCGCACTCGCCCTCCCTAGCCGCACCTGCTCCGGGACCATGGGCGTCATTTCATATCCGGTCTGGTAACAGACGGAGCCAGACTGAAACGTTCTTTGTAAAATCACGTTTCTACCGAGAAGCTGTGACCCCCCTGCCCACGGGGGGCTTCAGCGAGTAAAAACACCGCGCTTCAGTGTTCGGCAAATGAGTCCTCTGTAACTTGGAAACCTGTGTCTAAACCATTAATTTCTGAAAGGAGACTCGGTGTCTCCAAAGCACTCTGAAATAGCCGCAGACACCAACTGACAGCAAAGCTGGACACATGTGGCCCCAAAGGCTGTGCGTTGTGGCACTCGGCACCCACTGACCTAGCCCGCCCTCCACACGGAGCCCTGCTCTGGGCCCCCACTTTCAGAGGACCGCGCTCTGGCCTTCCACCGGCCACACCTCATCTCACAGTGTGAGCCTGCCTTCCTCCAGAATAAGGTCCTTTTTCACCCGCAGATCCCAGAATCCTCTGCCCAGGTGACTGGGCCTCCTTCCCCGACTCATGGCACCCCCTCCCCCAGGCCTGGACACAGCACTGCTTGTGGACTGCTGAGGGGCACGTGGACGCAGTTGGGGTGTACCAGCTGGGCCGCCCTCACATCCGCAGTCGGACCCCACCCGGGGCAAGTGGGAGGGGTAGAGAGGCCGGGGCTCAGTCTGCCTGCCCCGCGGGGTCCTGGTGCAGAGCTGGCTGGGCTCCGAGCCTTCTCGGTCCTGCCCCGGCCTCCCCGCTGAGTGTGCCCACAGGAGGGGACACACTCACACCGTCTCCCAGCCCGGCTCATCCCTCCGCTCCTCACGCCCCAGCGAGCAGCCCCAGCCCCTGACCCCGGCCCCCAGAGGGCACAGGGGGGCCTGGTGAGGTCAGAGAAGCTGCACCGCCGTCCACCTCTGACCTTTGCAGTCACAGGTTGCTGCCTTCCAGACGCTTAATGCAGGGGCCTAAGGGCCACCGTTCCAGGCTGAGTTGTCACACAGAGGGACAATTGTAAAGGGAAGATGCCAGGATAAAAATATCATGCGCGTCGTATATCCAGGTCAGAAAAACAGATCTGTCAGCAGTCACGGGAAATCAGTGAAAACCGAGACTGGGGCCACCCATAAAGCACACACACCAATTAATACTCACTAATTAACGCCCACTAATTTACACACTCAGAACAACTCAGAGTCACTGACTCAAATTCAGAATACAGTTCTGAAGGGGTCATCTTCATTTAGATATAAGTATTTGAAGTAGTTATGAACAAAACTTATAGGCATTTTAAGAAATAATTTTTGCTTATAGAGTACCAGAGACGATGTGACTTTTCCACTCACTTTTTCCTTCCATTGCTTGAGTTTTGTTATCTGCACCCCGAAATACAGGGCGTCCTGACTGGCTGTATATTCTCAGATAGTGGGGAGTAAATATACCGGTCCTGTAATCAGACAACCAGTGCTATTTGAACAACAACATCTGTATTATAACAGAATCCTAAGTCCACATTTGCCTAACAATCAACACCACATGACAGTTTTTAAGAATCTGGGAAGTTGGGTTGCACCTCCAAATCAAAAGGACATTTCCAACTAAATGGACCAAAAGCACCGAGAGCCACCGGCAGAATGAATGACAGCACAGAGAGGCCTGTGGCAAGGGGACCGCAGAGCGTCCGCAGGTTCTTTTGACCTGATTGGAGCTCGAAAGGGCAGCGGCTTAGGAAGCAGGAAAGGGGCGGTCGCACCCCACGCCGGTAGGTTTGCGAGGGAGGAGTCTGTCTACAGTGTCCCCCGAGCCAGGGCCAGCCCGGTCCCAGCTGCAGGGCTGTGTCCGGAGGAAAAGGACCTGGTTCCGGCAGGGCTGCCGGGTCGGTTCCGGCAGGCCCCGAGGCCCAGCTGGGTTAGCTCCTACTGTGTTTTCCACGCACTGAGACTCAGGTCGGACGGCGGCCTCCACCTGCAATGTTCCCCACGCCAGTGGGCAGCATGGACCGTGCCTGCCGCAGGCCGGGGAGAAGAAGAGGGAACTGAGGGTACTAGTCACATAACCACCCAACTCGAAACCCCGTCCACATTCCGGTGTCCGTTACTGTAGAAAGTTCAGCAGAGTGGTGGGGAGGTTTGCAAGGGCCCGACAGGATGTGAGGCAGGGCGCGGGTTTGGGGGTCCCCACCCCAGAAGTTAGTCCCAGGGCCGAGTCTTACTAACTGTGACTTAGGGTATGACTTACGTTCTCCAAGCCTCAGTTTCCTCATCTGTAAAATGGTGCAATCTTAAGACCTACTGGAGAGCATTGCTGTGAAAATTAGCACAGTTTTACAATACTTAGGTCCATGCATACTAGAGGCTTATTCTCTATTTTAATTTTACATCTATAGCTGCCCACACAGCATGCTCATGCGTCATAAAACTCATTCTACTTCTTCCCAAGATGGCAGACATCTGTAGGTCTCACACACTAACTGTGATATTCTGTTTTTGCACGATTTATTCCGTTTCTGGTGATCATCTTGGTCCACTTCTATTTTATACAACGATTAGCTTCTGTAACATTGGTCCAGGAAGAGCCCAACCATGATTTATAGATGGCCTTACGACATCGCTGAATTCTCTCCTGAGTAACTGCGTTTTCTAGTGAGTAAACGCCCATTCCGGAAGAAAATATCTTTAATATTCCTTCCAGACCAATATAAAATGGAAAACTATAATTGGGAGACAACTCGGCTATTCAGTGGCAATGGATCTCAAAAATGCAGACACAGGCAGAGGTCATGACAGCTAACAGCCCGCCTTCCTAACAGAAGCTCTCCATCACGGCCGCAGCCTCAGCGCTTCATTAAAACCGGTGGTGCCGGCTGTAGCAGGAAGCAAAGGAAAAAGGAAGCCTGCAGTTTTCTAAGCACCTGGACACCTGGCTCTAGAGTTTTCACGTTTGGTCTTCGTTCTCTGTACTGCTGCCCTGAGCCCCGGCCCCGGCCCCTCCTGAGGCTGTGCCGCGTCCAGTGCCGCTGTGAACAGCCTTCAGGGTCCTGCACGGCACGGCCCCAGGAGGCTCCCGGGGCACAGACCACCCCAAACAGCCCTCGGACGTGTGGGCTTCACCACCTGCCAAACTGCACGGGGCATCCCTGCCTGCCCACCCCCATCCACACTGGACTCCTCGTACTGGGAACTACAGCGCTGTGATCTGAGTGAGGTCGAATTTCAAGTACGGCCTGGACTTGGAATGTGGCTCATGTTCAGCTTTTCTAGATTCTCATCTCTGGAAACTAGCAGCTTAGGGTCACTGGTGTGTGTCAGAGAAGACTTGAAATGGGCAGATGGCTGGCTTTTGGCTCTGTGGAGGCGAGATTATGTTTACAGCCCGATTCTCAGAGCCCGCTCTCGGGCGGCCCCGTGAGAACGGGTTCTGCAAAGAGGGAGAGGAGCGGCACACCAAAGAGAAGTCAGATAAACGCTGTGGGCGCTTTCTGGGTGACTTTTAGCTCCTCCAGCACACTGGGAGGTGGGCGTTGGGGCCGCCTGGCCTGAACTGGACTCTGACGTTTCGTCACGAGGGACCGAGTTCTGAGCCTTTAGTTTCCTCTGTCTGCCTGCCAGCGACAGGGGAAACATCTGCCTGGCAAATTCACCCCGACAGAGTGGATGCGCATCTGGTCTTTGGAGGGGATCACAGAGCCGCTGTTGTTCTAAGGCAGCGCGGCTGCCTTTCCACGCGGGCCCCAGAGGGACCGCCGCCTCCAAGGCCGGACGGGGAGCGGGAGCCAGCACGGAGACCCCCGGGTCTCTGCAGAGACCCTTTCTCTTTCCCGAGGAGCCGAGCTCAACCCCAGGCGCGTCCCATCGGAGCAGCATGAGCGACACAGCCTTTGAGTAGGTGGTCCCCGAGCACAAGAAAAAGTGTGCTGAGCAAACACCCCCAAGACTCCATCAGAACGTACACACGAGAGAACACTCGTCCGGCTGTGGTCTCACCATCAGCCTCGTGCTGCGCATCTGGCGGAAGCCGGTCAGGAGCACTCGGCCCTCAGTCTGGCCGTGCGGACGAAGGAGCGTGATCACAACGGCAGGGACTTCCGACAGAGCAGGGCCACACACCCAGGCACCAGGAGGCTCGGTGGCTCTCTCGGTGCCCAGGCCGCCCACCTGACTGCCAGGGCCTTGGCCCCGCTCTCGCTTCCCCGGGCATCACGACCATCTCCGGACCCCGCCGAAACCCACCCTGTGGAAGGCCCACAGGTCCTGCTTGTGGGGGTGGGACACGTGTTCCTGTTTCAGAACAGGTGTGTTTTGGATATCTGCCAAAGTGTAAACACTTCTGTGAAACTCACCATAGCCCATGAATAAAAACAAAGCCATTTACCACCAACAAATACTTTTTTTGAAGAAAGAAGAGAAAAGAAAGAAAACCCTCACACAGGAGGCAACGGGAAGAACAAGAACAAGTTCAGTGTCCCTGGTGGATCGAGCCAGAAACCTGAGCCTTGCGGTGGGGACGTGGCAGGAGCAGGACAGTCTGTCCCTTTGTACCTGTCCCTCAGAACCAGTCTCTGACATGCTCAGGTGGGTTAGACTAGAGCGGCCGGAGACCAGGGGGCGGCCTGCACTCTCCTCTCAGGGTTTCTCTGAGGTTCACGCCGGCAGCGAACAGCCAGATGCTGAACGTCAGGGACGGCGTCAGACACTGGGCACGAGTCAGGAGTGACAGGCCTGAAGTTCAGTGTCTTTGCAGCTTCGGCTCTACCTGCCCACGAGGCCGCTCCATCTGCTCCTCACACGCACCCTGCCCCCCACTTCTCCGCAAGGCAGAGTTCACAGACCTTTCCCTGCTCAGTGAGGCCTGGGAAGACTTTCTCTGACAATGACCAATAGGGAGCACGTGCGGGCTGGCAGGACACTGGAAATGGGCAGTTAGTACAGCCCGATCCCATGGGCCCCCCAACACCGCAGCTCCCTGCTCCGTGCACCGGGACCTGACAGAGGAAATGAGGTCGCCTCTGGGTTTTATCTCCTCGTTTATTAGACGTCTCAGATAATGCTGAGGGTGAGTGGCTTGTTTCCTATTCCAAGAGAGTTGCCAAAAGAAGGTGAATCTACTGTCATCTTATAAACAGTACTGCACGCGCTTTACTTCAGGCTTAGAAACGAGCGTGACGAATTCCTTTAAAATTGATTCTGGGAGTTTGGGTAACACCGACTGTGACACTGAGCTTTTGTTTCTTTAAATACTGCTTGAAACTGTCAGCTGTTATACATGGCTTGGAGTGTTATTTCAAATACAGGCCTTCAGTGATACCAATTTTACAGGATCCGAGGGCCTTAGCTTGTAATTGACGGGGAAAACTGGACGAGCTCTTTGGGTTAGTAAATTTCAGCCTTCTTCCCATAAATGAAGATTCGAAGAAAATTGTCATTTTTACTTCTACATAAACTTGAAGGACTCATTGGTTTTACAGTTAAACTCTCCCAAGAATGTTTTTCCAATTCCCTAAGCCCTAGGGACCAACTTCTAAGTAAATTTCTGTCTCTTTGTATTTCCCACAATATGAATTTACTTCCACGCTCTGTAAAAAGTGTTTAAGGGATCACGGCTACATTTGGAGACTCCCAGAAATGTTTCTGCGAGGACTGAGGACTGCAAGCGAGGGAGCCGGTGAAGAAAACAGAACTGGGGGTGGGAGAGTGTGGGGGGGAGGGCAGCCCTGCAACAGCCCTTCTCAGCGGGCACGGCCGCAAGTCCAGGGTCACGGAAGATGCTCGTTAAGTCCTGACCTCCCTGCACCACCCACAGTCTCTTGTCCTTCCTTGGGAAAAGGGCTTGAGTCCCATTCAAGTACAAAAGTGGGGGGACAGCAAGGTCACACCCTCTGCAGGTGCTTCGCTGGGAAAATCTCAGGTTCTTTGCATGATCAGAAGCGCAGTTAATAAGCACAAGAGGGGAGGGGAGTTGTCTGACCAAACGCAAGACACAGGGAAACGCACTGTTTTCCCCCTGTGTGCAGATTCTGTTTCTGTAGGCAGAATCAAGAGGGTCATGGTGGGGGGGGGCGGGTACCGCTGCTCAGGGGGAAGGCAGGCAACTCCCTCAGGCTGCCTGTCCAAGCCAATTCCACTCACAAATAATTGCCCACGGCCCATGCCATCTCGTCTGGGTAGACACAGCCGGGGAGGGCAACTGCAGTGGGTCACTTTTTCTTGGGTCCTTTAAGAACGTCCTTTCAATTGGAAAGTGTCAAGCCCTATTTTCCCCAGATGCAGCGACAGCCGTAGCGGTTCAGTGTAAGTCTGCACGGGAAGAGGCATCTCTCAGGTGGTTTCTGCTTTATTCCCTTTGCTTTTCTTTACACACAGAAAATGTCCTCTGGGTAGAGTCAGGCACGCCGTCAACAATGACCTGTATAAAATGTTTTATGTGTGTTCAAGGAATTAGAGCTCAGTCTGATACCCTGCCATCAAGGGTGACAGAGGTGAGTCCTGTGGACCCAGCATCGCCGCACAAATGACAGTGAACGTGGACCCTGCTGCTCTGCAGACTGGGGGCCAAGGTGCCGTAGAGACTCTATCTGTGCCACAGTCCCAGAGACAGACACGATTTTACCCAAACAGAACACGCACTGGCTGACGTGTGAGTTCTTACTCACCGGGTGCCTCTCGAGGTCCTGCACAGCCTCGGGCCCGGCAGGTGCACTGAGGTCCTGCAGGTGGACGCCGAAGCCGCAGCGACAGGTGGGCAAATACACCTGAGGAGAGGAAGGCTGCCGTTCACCGGGAGTGGGCGCCCCGCGGACTCGCGCCGACACTCGCCTAACCCAACCACAGGGTTCGGTTTCCGCCTGAAGCTTCAGCCCACTTCTGGCAACATCCTAACTCAGAGCAGTAGGCACGTCACTGCGAACCCTGGGCTGCCCCAGATGAGCCCACAGGCCAGATTTACTTCTGGTGAAACTAAAACGATGTTCTAATTTTGAAGAAATGAGAAAGACTAAAAGTTCCATAGAGCTAACTTGGCATTTCTGACCGTCCCCACAGAGCCCCACTCAGGAAGAAGCAGCCACTGAATGGAATCAGCGCCCTTCCACTGAAGCCGGAGGGAGACCCTCACAGCCTCACAAACGTCCAAGAGATTGTAGGTGACCATTACTAGGGTCACGACAGAACAATGGGATAGAAGGTGTCTGTGCCTGGGAGGGCACACCGTTCTCACCAAAGAGGCCAACATGTCTGCTGTAGTTTTCCACTGTGAATGGTGTAAATAACTGCGAGGAATCCCAAGGCAACATGTTTCCCAGGTGGGAGTATGTGTAGAAGGGAATCTCCCTTCGTGCGAACACACGCCAAGCTCGTGCTTCCAGCCACGAGCACAAGCACGAGCACGCTCGTGCCCTGCGGAGCGTGTGTTTCTCCTCAGTGTTGGGGCTGACAGCCCCGAGCACGTCTGCCTACTACCAGCAAGTGCCGTGGGCGGCGTGGGGGCACCAGGCCACCCGTAGCGCACCTAGTTCGTGCCTTTAGCCAGGACTTCAAGAACTGCTGCCCTTGGGAACTCGTGTGCAAGGGACACCCCAGCCAGAGGCTGGTGATTTGGGTGAAGGGCCACGTACCTGTTTTAATTGCCTTTCTAGTTTTTCTTTCTCCATCTGACAAGCTTTTAACTACGGACAAAACAAAGGCATTGGTTGATCAGAAAGAGTCCAGATGGTCGGTTCTGCAGCTACTCTCGCTGGGACCCGCTCAGGGGCTGGGGGGCCGGGGAGCCGCTGATGGCAGGAGTGCCAGGGAAAACGGTTGCCTTTTGGGTTTCCCAGACATGCGTCCGCCCCCTCCTGAAATTCCCAAAGGAAGTTTGGAGAGTTGGGTAGTTTTAGAGTGTTATTCCAAGTTGTTTGGGGCTAAAATAGGTCTCAGTTTTAGGTTGCTATATTTAGATGTACGTATAGGACTAGATACAGATACACATGAAGATATGGACGTAGAGACAGCTTCTATCACTGATCAAATGTGACTGGGATTAGTCAGCCACGCGTTCAAAGGCTCCCGTGCCCGCACATTCCACTAACACCACGGCGTGTCCCACCACGATTTCCCACCTATTGAAAGGCACTGCCTGATTTTGCAAATCCAATATTCTGTAGCTTATTTCTTTGTCTTAAGTCAAGATTGTGTCGGCTACATTTTCCTCGTTAACACCCACATTTACGCATCATGGTGACTTCCTGAGACTATTTTTAACCCATCCTATTAAACTTAACTTTAGTACGCGTACATTTAATATGTTCTACCCCAAGAAGCTACCTAACGTTATCTGGCTTCTTCGAGGGTGCTCCAGTTGACTTTCATCTGGTTCCACTAGATATATAAATGACATTTAGAAGTAGGTATGTTTTTGGAAGGCAGGGACATTCCAACATAGCCCTTCAAAGAAAATGACAAGAATTTAGCAAAGCTTCCCTGGGAGTTTCGGACTTGAATTGGAGTGCCAGGAAGGTCGACTCCCATTCTACCAAAATAAATACTGTGAGAAGAGATCAAAGGAACTAGACTTTGTAAAAGACTCTGGAGCCCACTTGCTTGGGTAGCTCCTAACTGCACTTGACTTAAAAAGAAGTCTCCAGTTGTTTCCAATTCCTTACAAGATTGTTTAAAAACGGCTCCATCGTCCCAGGTGCTAACCTCTCAAGGTCATCCACTGTCAACTAGCAGAAGCCAAAGAGTCTTGAATTTTCTCTCAAGTGAGAAACCAAAAGCACAACAACAGGCTCGTGCTGGCAAAGATGACTTTGTTTTGACTCGTACCTTGGACTTCAGCTTGTTCACCTGGGATTGGCAGGTTTGGTTACTCTGCTGTAGCACCTCCTTCTCCTGATTAAGTCTTTCCCGGTCCGATCGCTCCCTGTTGAAGTCCTCTTCATATATTTGCACCTAGGAAACATTAATCACGGTCACTGGTGGCCTCCCCCTCCCATATACCCTCTGCCCGATCTCGGAAGGGGTGGTATCTGGGCTTGTCCAGTTGGTGGGGTTTCTGTCCTGTCTCTGTGGACATTGCTTCGTGGTGGGACTCCATCCTAACACACAGGACTACGATTCAATCTTTCACTTCATTTGGAGCGGAGCTCTCAGCTCTGTCCTTCGTGAGCATGACTCTTGAATTCAGAAGTAAAGTAATAACACAGATATTTTGAAAGAGATTATCCTCATCCATAATTCTGCCACCTATCTCATTATTTGCGATGGCCTCTTCCAGCACAAAGGGTCCCTGTTTTAGCTCGAGTGACCCAGCCACGGCACAAGGCTCAGATGTACGAACACTGCTTAGGGTTTTCCAAGTCAGTTCGCTGCCTCCAGCTGTTAAGTGGCCTGCTGTTTCCCAATGGAAACTCTGCGTCGAACACAAAATAGAACAGGAAGGCTCGTGGATGCGGAAAAGCAGAGCGTGGCTGTTCAAAGGTTTTCACAAGGGTTGCCCTGGGAATTTTGGAGGGAAATTATACAAAAAAGAAACACAGTGATGTTTCCGTGGAACACCTCTCCTGAGATACCCCAAATATTCCAGACAAGTAAGTAAATCAAAGAAAGAACAGATTTAATTATTGTTGGTTTTAACTGGCATGGTGTTGACTACTGGCCTGACAACTAGTGCGTGGACCTGTGAGAATAAAGGAAGCAAAGAAACTCCAAGACCATGAGTTAAGTCCCAACTCACATCGGGACCTGGTAGTTAGGATTCTGTCTGTTAACACTCGGGCACGTGGCAGCCTCACCAACAGGGCAACACGTTTGAACGAGAGGCTCATCAGCTTTAAGTCAGTAATGACACAACAAGGTATAGCAGACAAAAGAAGAAATGAAACATTTCATAGAGATTTAGATGCAGACACACACCTTTAATTTTTAAGGCTTTCCTCTCCAGAATTGCACCCAGCCAAGCTGACATTTATGTTTCCTGGTTTCTCATTTTAGGGAGCTGGGGTTCACGCTCCAGCACAGTTACCCACACCAATGCTCTGTAAACAGCGACGGGAGGGCCTGGACCCATTTTGAAAGGCAAACTCCCCCAAACGTCTGCAGGTCCCCTCCCCACAGCCCCTGCCCTCTGCGTGACCACGCCCCTGCGGCAGCTCACCTGCTGTTTGAGAACCTCCATTTCTGTTCTCATCTCCTCGAGGCTGCACCCCTTCTCGGACTCCCGCAAACGGTGCTCAGGGAAGGACGCACCCTCGATTTTCAGGGCGTTCCGAAGAGCCTGTGTGACGACATAAGCATGTTGATGATCTGAGTCACGCAACGGGGATCTCTCTCTACCGGTTACACTGGCCCCAGATGCACCCACAAGGCAGAATCTTTTTCACCCTGCTTTGGCAACTGAACAGCTTCCTTCTTTCTGATTTTCTCGCATGTGTGTATTTTTTTCAGAATCTGCCTTTTCTCTGACGATGCTCACACCATTCACCTCGCACCGTTATTCCGAAGGGCTTTGCCAGCGGAGCTCCTCCACCTATCCAGCTACGGAACGGTGACATAGCTGTACCTTTTCTCTCGGTCTGTCTTTCCCTGGATTCTCTGCTTCGGGCAAATATGAGTGGATCCTCTACCAGCAATGATCTGAATTTAAGAAGCATCAGAGCCCCCTGGACAGGAGGCAGGCGTGCCCGGCCCTGGGCTCTGCCTCCAGAGAGCCGAGTCGGAAGACTGGGGCAGTGTCTGAGACCCCACTCTCGTCGGAACCAGATACTGCAGGTCCCAGGTGACATTGTGAGTTATTCTGCCATATAACCACGCCCCCAGCAGGAGAGAGGGAACTGCCCAGGCAGATTCACCTCCGTGACCCCAGTCGCACAGCCCCTCTGCCCGGGCCCCTCGGCACAGTCCTGTTACTCCCCACGAAGACACCCGTGAACTCGCGCACGGAGGATGAAGTGCTCTGGCAGTCAGCACAACTTGGCGTTTGCACCCTGGGTGAGGAGGCGAAGGAAACCAGAGACGTTGGGATTTGCCAACAGGATCGCCATGCTTACTCGTTAGCACGCTGTCAGATCGTGTGAAGGGCACCGCCTCTACCCGGGGGCCCTTCAGTTCATGGTGAGTTTAGGACAGACACCAAACCCTGGGACGGGACGTACCTCATCCTGGGTGGTCTCGGGGCTCGAGCACTGTGTAACTACTAGCTTGTGGTCGGGGTCCGCTACGCACACCAAGAGGTTCACTCTCAGAGCCGTGAGCACACGCGTCCTCTGGACCCTGCTCGTGGCTGCAACGATGTCGTTCTGACGGCACCTTGAGCCACTCCCTGCCCTGCATCCCGTGCAGCGGGGTCAGGAAGGTGGGAAACGCAAGGCCCGAGTGTGGCCTTGAGTAAGTGGGACGGACTCGGCTCGCGTGTAACGGGATGCCTTGGTCTCAGTTTCTGCCCAGACCGGAGCCCTCATCGTTTCTTAGGAGGTCACAAGAGAAACAGGACTTTTCTGATTCCTCCAAGAAGAATTTAAAGAAACAACAAAAACTGTTTACTAATTTTGTTTTTGGTTAAAGTGCATCGTGATAGTTACAATTTTTTTAAAATGTGCCAGGAAGTAGTAGAGACTGCAGGGTGGGTGAGCCGGGGGAGCAGAGACCACCCAACACACTGCTCCCCGCCCTGCCCTGCAACAAACCATCTCTGCAGGTCACGTGATATTTGCATTTCCTGGTCTACCTTTCATGTTAGTCAGGCTTCTAGAAATTTTGCAAATGAGTCACCAATGAAAGGCGAGGCTGGCAGAGCGGGGCTTTCCACCTTTCCCTGAGCAAACACCTGCAGCCCGTTCCAGGAGCGTAGACCCGTCACTGCCTGGCAGCCTGGAGGTGCCCCACAGACCGGAGCATCTCACTGTGCCAGCACAGTTTGCACTTGGAGTTTGACCTCGGGCAGCCCCAGCCGACCAGCCTCGGGCAATCTCTCTCACTTTGGTTAAACATCTGGCTTCTTTTGGAGAACTTGGCTGAAAACAAAGCCCTTGGGCCCTTCCTTCAAAGCCAGTAAGTTGTGTGCTTCTGAACACCACGTGGCAATTACCAACCCCACCCGCCACAAGTGTCTGCTGAGCCCGAGGGTCCCCGGCAGCTGGTCTGTGTCAGGAGAGTGGCCCCAAGTTCCACTCCGTGACGGACGGTGGGCACAACCAGCCCCCCAAGTTGGCACTTTGAGAAAATTCTGTTTATCACAAAAGAAGAGAGTGAGCCACGTAAATTCGAACACTAAATTAGTTAGAACACTAACTCCTCGCCTTCCATGAGGCACTGCTCCGCGTGCTGGCAGAGGACAGACCTGTTTCACAAGTGATCGCTTCTCATCCGTGGCTTTCCAGTGACAGTGTAAGGTGGAGACACGTTTTCTGGCTCCCAGCCCTCTTTTCCTTTTTCTCGCTGCTTGGAAGTCAGAGTTACACCTGTTCACACGTGAACCTCCTGCTTTCTCAGGCCCAGAAAGAGCCACTGAACGGCTTACGTGCCGCCTATGAAATTTGTCCTTTCATCCAGTGAGCATTTAAGAGCACACCAGGAGCAGGAGGGCTGCGCTCTGAGCAGCCAGGGATCCGCAGCGAACAACGTAGAAGCACAGCGCCGTTCACTTCGTCACACTGCCTTTGTGAGCCTGTCCCTCTACAGAAACGCACGTGAAACTTACAGTGTGCGGCCACCCTTCGACGATGAGTATACAATCATGATGGAAACATTTCTTCAACCTAAAAGTTCCCTTTTTCCCTTCCAATTTCGAGAGAAACTAACATACTTCTGGTCCCCTAAAAGTACCGTGGATGGGAGTAGAAGAAAGAAAACTATACATAAACAACAATTAAAATAAAAAGTTTTTTAAAAGGACCATAGGCCCTGGACACTGTGCCTATTCTGTCTAGTACAGGAGTGGGTCTTGCAAAATTGCAAGCATCCACCCTCGATCTCGAGCTACAAGCAAGATTGGGAGTCCAGAAACTCGTAAGGCGATAAATATGAGCTAGTCAACCTGTATTACATAGCAGTAAATTCCAAGGAAAAAATTAAAGCAGGAAGTACTAGTGGTGGAGTGTAATTCCGATTAGGGTAGCCCGCCAGAAAAATTCTCTTCAGGAACATTTCTACGAAGACCTGAATTTTACTCAAATTAACTTTTCTCACTAAGACTTGACAATTATCATCATGAGACTTATAAAACTAGCATTTGGCTAACTCTTTAAAAGCTCTGCATGACTGGAAGCAAAGACTCACAGAAAATAACGGGAGCACGTGGGCCCCAGACAGAGTTCCCAGCTGGTCCGGTTCTGCCAGCTTTCCCATCTCGCCCCTCCATTGAGAGAAATGAATCAGAGAGAAGAAGAAAACGTGTCAAGTGACGGGTCAGAAGTGGGAGGGTCTCAAACGCAACCTCAGCGCCAGTCCCTCTGATTCACTCGTGGGGAAGCTCCAGAAGGGGATGACAGGGGAGGGAAGTGTGTGTTCGCCCCGCGTGGGTGCCTCTGACCGCCAACTCGCCCTGTGAGAGGCCAGAGAAGGCGCAGCTCAGGAAGTCGCCTCCACGGCCCTGCTCTCCCCGGGAGGGAGGGTAAGGAGGCCCGTGGACAGGTCGGACGTCCTGCTGCATCTCTGACGCACCCTGCCGGCGACACAGACACGCGCCCAGCGCTACGGGGACCCTCGGGCACTCGTTAACGATGACAGAGCACACAGTCTACATCCCAGGCATTTTCAAGGCCAAGTGCCTACTCCTGTTCTGGAGGACAATTTCAAGTATTTGGGTCAAGAAATCTCTAGTGTGGGAGACGCGTGTGTCAACCTCACCACGCACTGTTCTGTGAACTTCCCTGGCCGGCATGCAGAACGGCCCTCGGAAAAGTCAACAGCACGGGCTCGAGTGCTGGCCTTGACCTTTCCTGCAGAAAATCAAGCTGTTACCTCACACCAGTCTGGTGGGCCTCACACCCCCCACCCTGGGCGATGGTTTTAAACAGCAGCCTATTTCCTCAGGAAACTCCTGCGGTTGACCAAGAAATACGCTGTTTTTCACAAACACCTGCTTGCATTATGGAACTCTTCAAACTTAAAAAAAACACCATTCTTACTCTCCTCTATGATTTCTCCTCCTCTCCTTTTCATGATGAGTTTTTGCAGGGACATGAGCTCCCAAAAGCCTCCTTAGGCCAGTCTGGCAGAACCGCACAGGCAGGGCAGATGCACAGAAGGACAGAGCCGCTCCCGCTGCAGCCGGCCAGGCCTCGGGGGGCCCTCACCCTCAGCCAGGAGCACGCCGTTCATCCAGGGGCTCCCCCCCCCGCCCCGTGCAGGCTGGTCGTACCTGGTTAAGGCGTTTGATTTCACATTCGTAATGTTCCTTCTTCCTGTGCACGGCAGTGTTCTTTTCCCTTAAAAGCTTATTTTCTCTCTTCAACTCATGTAATTCTTGGTCCAGGCTCTGCTTTTCCTTCTGAAGTAAAGAGCAAGAAAACAGCACCCACCCAGTTCAGAGGAGCAGCCGCCCGAGGCCCCCCGCTGGAAGGCGGCGGGAAGGGGCCCCGCTGGGTCTGCAGGGGACCCCGCGCCTCTGCAGGGGGCCAGGGTTAGCTCGGGGAACTCTGTTCCTCTTTCCCCTCTAATGCTATGAAGTCGTGTGACCTCAGAAGATGTCCACATCTCCAACCTCACTGTCAAATGGGTCCGCAGAGTAACTCAGCGCCATGTCCCCATACAAGGGGGGGAGCAATGACTCAGTCAAAGTCATCAAAAATCCTAAAAAGGAAAAAGGGCCGTGGCAGTGAGACACGGTGTCTCCGCACCCTTCTGGGCCAGACAGAGGACCGGAGAGAGGCCCCGAGTGTTCTGAGTGCCGTGCTGGTGTGGCTGTCCCTTCTCGGGGGGAGGTTAGGAGGTCAACCTCCCTGTTGCCACCACGCCTCCAGGTTTCAGGTCCCCTGGGAGGGGTCCAGGGCTGAAAATACACGGGGAAAACTTGGTCACTTAGACACCGACAGGCTCTGGGTCCAGACGACCTCTGCCTCTCCCAGTTCTATCTTCTGGAGAGTTCACTTCGTGTGGAGTAATTGGAGTCTCAGTGAGATTGAGACTTTTAACCTAGCACGACCCGTATGCCAGAATTGAGGTCAGTCAGGATGAGAAGATAGCTAACACACGGTTAAAGTGTCTGCTTTCTGACTTAGCATCATCTCAGACCAAGTGGTTTCCACTCGGACGGGCCCCGAGTGCGCGAGGGAAAACGCCCTGGCTCCTGGCCGGAGTGTGGTGGCCAAGAGGGGGAGCTGCACCTTGTCCCCCTCGGACTCCCGGGGACAAGGGGTCCTCAGCAAGGAGGCAAACCTGGGCTGGCGTCGCCCGTGCTGACCCGAGAGCCGGCCGTGGGACCGTGCACACCCTGGGAGAAGGCCCATACCTAGGCACGCCAGTGCAGAGACCCCACCTGAGCACACACACACACACACACGTGTGCTTCCCATGTTTCTTAACACGCCTACAAAGAGAGGTCGTCGGGCTTAGTGTTTTCCTCCCGTGTTTTCCCACAACCTCCATGAAGTCCGAGGACCGGTCCTCAGCCGGGACAAGCCAGCCTCAGCACCCAGAGGGTGGGTTCCCCGCCCCCCGTTTCCACCTGCTCAGTATCCGCCGCCCCTGTCACCTAACCTCCTTGCATCTCAGCTTTCTCACCTTGAAAATGGCAGAAATAATATGTCTGCACAGGTGGGCTGAGAATGGTACATGAGACAAGGAGGGTGAGGTACTTTTAAACATGTTCTATTTTTCAGATCACAAACATAATACCTGTTTGTAAAGCTCGCTGCAAGGTGAGAGACAGCTGTGCCAGTACAATGCATTGTCATATTGTTGTTAAATATGAATTAAAGAAGAAGAAAGAAGAAGGAGGAGGAAGAGGAGGAGGAGGAAGGAAGGAAGGAGGGCTGGCTGAATTTTCTGGAACACCCTAGAAAGATATCGCCAAATCCATGGCTCCGGGCCCAGCTGGCAGATCACAGCGTGCCCGCTGGTGCCACGGAGGCGGAAGCGTGGGCACCCCCTGCCCCGCCCCCTGTCCTCGGCTCCTCCAGCCCGGCCCCCCAGCCGCACCCACCTGTGCTCTCTGCAGCTGCTCCTGGGCCAGGTCCTCGGGCCCGCCGCCGTCCCTCTGGCCTGGTGGCTGTCCCTTCTCCAGGGTGCTGAGGGGTTTTTCCGTGGCCTCCAGTTTCATTCTCAGCTCTGCAACCTGAGGTGGTTGGCACAGACAGATGCAGCCCCCTGGACGGGCCGGTGGCCCACTGCCCTAGCAAAGGAGTGCCCTCTAGGGTGGGGGGGAGACAAATTCCACACAGCCTCTGGCCCCTCCCTCCGCGCTCCTACCCACACCGCCTCCCAGCACGAGGCTCTGGATCTCAGACAGGGACAGTCCTGGGCCTGGCACTGTCCTCCCAGCTCTCAGGGTGCGGTGGCAGCAAGGGGCGGGGTGCATCCAAGCCTGGGAAAATCCCGGGTGGGCCCTCGGCTCACTTACCCACAGCTGGACCTGTGGCTAAGGGCCACGTTGGTCCTCGGAATGAGGACAGTCCACTGAGAGAGCTTTAGAGCCGGTGCCTCCCAACCAGGGCTCTGGGGGGGGCGGTGCCATCCACTCTCCACCCCAGGGCTCCCTGCACCTGCAGGCGGTCAGAACCACCGTTGAAACGTCTTCCCTGGGACCCTGTCCTTTCCCCCTGGGTGTCCCCAAAGCGCCCAGACTCCGTGAGCTGAGGCAGCCTGTCAGGGCCTGGAGTCGGGGGGATGGGCCTCCTTTGGTTTCCACCCCTCATGCTTCTGGGCACCACGGAGGGGGGCCCCCGACAGGGAAGCGAAAGCAATGCCCTGCATTACTCACTTGTGGTCAGGTTTCTTAGCTCTGAACCAGCTGGGGGAATTCACTTTCTCTTTTCTCTCTGTTTGAATGTGGAATGACCTCGAATTCTAAACTGACTTTGACTTATTCAAAGGCGTTTTCTCCCCAAGTTGGCATTCTCACCAGGGCCAAAGCGGCTTGAGAGAGACCACCCTTTAGACAGAAGAGGGGACCCCCCCACTCCCTGTCACACTTTCTCTGTTGTCACTGTGGGTGCTGTTCTCTGCAGAGAGTCGCTGCTGCCACCTACCCTAGTTCAGGGGCGAGAGAGGGAGTTTCGCGCGAAGCATGATGGACTGGAAACCCTCTCTTCCCAACATGGACCCGGCACGTCTGTGGCTGCTGGTCACACGGCGGGGCCAGGTACCCCGTGGACTCAGGGAAGTGTGCGTGAGAACTCCAGTGCCAGCTCTAGCGGGGGCCTTTCGTGCCATTTCCACGTACCGACTCTCCCCGAGCCCCCTGGATGAACGAGCCCCTCTGCGACTGACTCAAAGCCCGCGGGGCGGACGCTGGTATGATTACCTTTCTCTCATACAGCTCCTTCATGCTTTCGGAATTGCCGGTCCCACTGCTGGTTCACTTCCAGGAGCTGCGATGATGAGAACGTGGTAAACCAACCAAGCACTTTTGCCCGTTTGGAAATTTGGACAAAACGAAGTCACTTTTTGAGGTTACTAATATTTCAGAAGCCCTGGGCGAAGACAGTAGTCCCCAAAACTATCATCTTTCTTATGTCTTGGTTAGTCTGCTGAATAGTTTACTAGCAACTTTTAAGTTTGCTTAGTTATGTGAATTTTTATCTTCTTTGCTTAATCCAGCCAGATCTGGTTAAAATTTGTAAGTATTGATGGCTTTCTCTAAGATTCATTAAAATCTAAAAGGTCTTTTTTCAAACTTTTCCATATTTCTACCTGTGATTAATTGATTATAATGAAATATTCCTTCCAGCTTTTTTAAAGCAGAATTTAGATGAACAAATTTCAAACCCCATTAGCTGATTATCATTTGCTCGCAATAATCAACTTTTTAAAATCCACACACGGTGTGTAATATGGACCAACAAATGGATAATATCAACTTTCTGAAAGTATAGAAAGAATAGTAGTCTCGTCCCAAGACAACCTTTAGAAATAATTTACGAGCAACGTGGAAGTTTTAAGACGATGTGCTAAAAGGAAAGAAACAGTAGGTGACCTGCATTTTTGTTTTCTCACATGGGGGACTCGGCGACTTCCTGCGTTAAGAGAAATTCCAACACTTACCGACAGACCATCAAGAGGACGGTCGCAGTGACCAAAATGTAGCAAGACTATCTCATGATTACAAAACAAGACATCTAATGCAGAGTGGCAGTCACTAGGCAAGGCTTATGCCGGAAGTAGATGTGGGTATTCACTCTAAGACTGTACAATATTATTTCATAAATACACCCGATCGGTGGCATTTTAGGGGCCAACAAGCCTGTGCTGTGATGATGTTCCGGTGCTATATTCAGTGATTTTTCAGAGGGCACAGCATTTCACATCCTATCAAGGAGTGAAGGCCCCAGGGAAGACAATATAAAGGGTGCAATGGACAGACCGGCTTTATAGGAGCAGTTACAAACCTGACCACCTGCAAGGGGCTGAACTCATCACAGTTTCCACCTCTTCCTCCGCCAGGAAGAATAAGGAGGTCCTAACATTCATTAAACTCAGAAAAGAAAATGTACAGGGGAGGGGAGGGGAAGAATGGGGGGAAAGGTACAGGGAATAAGAAGCATAAATGGTAGGCACAAAGTAGACAAGGGGAGGTTAAGAATGGAATTGGAAATGGAGAAGCCAAAGAATTTATATGTACGACCCATGGACATGAACTAAGGGCAGGGGAGATGCTGGTGGGAGCGGGTGCAGGGGGTAGGGGAATAAATGGGAGAGAAACAATGTCATCGCATAATCAATAAAATACTTTTTAACAGAAAACGTCTAAAAAACTTTTTTAAAAACTCAGAAAAGCAGAATTCAAAAAAAAGTAACCATCACATTCTCCACGACATCTTAGAAACCGGCATTTTTTATGGTGATGCTCCTGCCCCCCATCGTCGGATGCCCGACCCACGGCCTCAGAACACCCAAGGCAACTGCACTCAAAGCCGTTGACAATCTGACTTTCAAGGTAGGTCACACTGCAAGGCACGCGGGGGACAGGTGATGAGCTCGCCGGGTCCCTGTGGAGGACAGCCTTGAGAAAACTAAGATGACCTTTATAGGATGTATGACCATCTCGGACGTGCACAAGTGCTGAGAGACCTCCTAGGAGATGGGTAGGTGACTGAGACAAAGCATTCACGCCCCAAATACTGGCGCCCGGGCCCACGCAGTGGTTGCCGTGACCCAGTGACGAGAAGGAAAGGTTCTGGGTGGCACACCCCCCATGTCAGTCTCAGCCTCACTCCACGGCACACGTTGATCCAACTAACATTTCAAAATTACCTCTTTTCTCTGTTTTTCCAAGTACCTTATCTTCTGTTCCAGAGAGATCGTCGAGGTCTTTCCTCTGGATGAGTTAGCACACTTGAAAAAAAAAGAGCAAAACAAAATAAACTATAAAATAAGCAGGAAAAATACTGTGCTTCACAAACTCCATGCATCTGGCAAACTGTCATGTTGTCATTTATAAAATAGTGTCTTATTCTAGCAGTTACAATCCTCACTCCATAGACCTCCCTAGAGACCTGTTGATGAATAGCTTTATATTGCATTTTAGACTCTTTTAAATAAATTAACTATCAAAATAATTCTCTAAGAAAGCATAAATGTATCGATGTCATAGGCAAGCAAGAAATTTGGATTTTACAAATTTCGGCTTCAGTTCTTTTGAAAATAAACATTCAGGGTATAATGCATCCAGAAACCTGGGAGTTTTCACGGGTGCGTGCTAGGCGTCTGCAGAGTAACGTTTCTGAAAGACCATCTTGCAGATGCGTCCGAGATCTGAGGGGTGGCCGCGGCCAAAGCCAGGGGAGTGACAGAGCCAGCCAGTAAGAAAGACCAGCACGCGTGGTGACGAGACAGACAATTGCTTCTAGAACTGCAGCAAGCCCGCTTCCCCAGTGGCCATCAGACACTCAGGTAAGGGGGGGGGGCACAGAATGCCAGGTACTAATTGTAATTGTAACCAGACCTTTGAAAGCCACTGGGCTACGAATGTAGATTAGTTATAAGTCACCAACATGATAAAAAAGTTAGCCATCTTTTCTTTTTCTTTTTCTTTTTTTCTTTCTTTTTTTTTTTTTTTTTTGTCGGGATGGGCATTTTCATTTAAGAAAGCACACAAGCTCTAGAGGCTGCCTGCCGTCCGGCTGCACAGACCACCAACAAAGCTTGCTGACACGCATCTGCCAAATCGACAGCCTCGTTGCCGCTCATCTCCGGGCCACACACAGTGACCTGGGTGGTGAGGGTCGGCCCTCAGTCCGCCTCTTGCAGGCTCACTTGGCTTCAGTAGTTATCGTGGACCACAAAATTGCTTAAAGATATTCACAAACGATTAAGAAACATATTCAAAACATGTTTCTGGGCCAGGAAATGCTCTTTTGTAATCATCCTGAGATTTCCAGAGCTTTTTTCATCAGAACTGATTTATAAAACTGTTCTCCTATTTTCTTTTCTATTTTTTCTATTTAGCTCTGTTTCACTCAACATTTTAGCATTTGGTGATATTTTCTATCTCTATAGATGCTATTGTCCATTTCCTTAGCTTCTTCCTTCTCAGACCCACGTACAACTGAAGATGCCTTTTCACAGCAACGTTCTGTCCTCAGATGCAGAATGACATCACTTGCTTCTGTCCTCAAGCTGCTTTGGCTGAGTGACCACAAAACCCAGGTGGCAAATACGTTAGGTCCTGTACCTGGGCTTTCTCCTTTTAGGGCGACTTTCAAGAGACAGGGCTCGTTCTGGATCCGAACACTCTCAATATCAGGCATCTCTGACCCAGAAGGCACTGTGAGCTGGCCTAGTCAGGGGGTCCTGAGAGACAGGCCCCCGGACCGGTGATTCTCAGGACAGGAGTGCACCCAGGTCACCGTGGGAGCTGACCAACCCCAGGTGGCCCGAACATGAGCCAGAGTATCTTAAAAGGGGGGCAGAGCACCTCTGTTGTATTTTCAATAGACTTTATTTTTTTAGAGCAGTTTGAAGTGCACAGCGAAATGGAGTGGAAGGCGCAGGGACGTCCTGCGTTCCTGCTGCCCCCACACAGGTGTGGCCCCTCCCACCACGTACAGCCCCCGCCAGAGGGGTGACTGGTTACCACGGACGAACCCACAACGACACATCATTATCGCCCGATCCACGGTACACGTGAGGCTCCCTCTCGGCACAGCAGTGCATTCCGTGGGTTCGGACACAGTTAGAGTGACAGGTGCCCATCATTATGGCGTCGCACCGAGTAGGTTCACTGCCCTAACTTCCCTGTGTGCTCCGCTCGTTCGTCCCACCTCCACCTTTGATCAATTCCACGGGCCATCGGGATTCACAGCACAGTTCGAGGCTCTCCCGTTGCACACACGCGTGGGGACCTGGGTCGGGGGTCCGTCAGGAGCCCCCTCTCTGTTTGTGCCACAGACAGAGACAGGCTGGATACGCAGACACTTGTCCGCCCCCCCGAGACTGGGCCTTCTGAGAACCCAGACTGAGCATCAGCTGGTGCTGTGCATTCTTTTTTTTTCTTTTGCCATTTTTAATTTTCTCTGAAAATATATGAACTATGTTGATCCTTAATATTTACTTTATAAATAAGAGTTATTAAAAAGCTAGATACAGTTCTGGGAGGGAGAGGGAGAAGGAGGAGGGTGAGGAGAGAGAGAGACAGAGAGAGAATAGGAATGGCTCGTAAGCCATAGATGCGTCACCAGAGGTTTCTCTGGAGATCAGTCAACATTTTCACCATGGCTCTTATATCTCAGGTATATGCCAAAATGAAGCAAAATCTATTAAACACAACATTGTGTATTTGCTTTGCATTCTACATGCTAAGGAAGGCATCTGATATTCCAAGAAATACATGGATTTTTAGTCATTAGTCCCACTAAGGGCACAATTATATAATAATATAATATAATATAATATAATATAATATAATATAATATAATATAATATAATATAATATAATATAATATAATATAATACAATACAATACAATACTATACTATACTATACTATACTATACTATACTATACTATACTATACTATAATATAATATAATATAATATAATATAATATATAATAATTCTTCCCTGTGAAATTCTTCCCCTGTAACACTCTGTAACCTGTGTTCAGGGCATCTGGGTGCATCTGTCTCATTTGCCGTAATTCCAAGACCAACTTCTAAGATGGTCAAGTTCTGACACCCTGAATTAAATGCCCAAATGAACAAAGGAGTCTCACTCAGTTTCCTCTTACATCTCAGTTTTCTCTTTGAAAAACTCCAAGAAAGCTCATTCATGCATTCTGTCATGTATGCATGCATGCATTCAATTAGTATCTATTGCAGTAACCTGCAACCAAACAGAGGGGTCACTCCTTATTCCAAATACGTCTTTACTCTGGTGACCGTACTGCTATTTTCATTCCTGCCTGCATTCACAGAGTATCCTTTCCAAATGTTACCTAGAATGGACTTCTTCTAACTCAGGAGGACAATGTGAAACCCCTAGAACCAGGAGCGGGAAGGACAGGATTTCGTCTCCCCTGTGAAAGGAGGAATGAGGCCCCGAGGAGTCCGAGGACGTGCCGGGTCACCCGATGCCATTTTGGTACGGAACGACAAGGCCTGAACACATAGATGGTCTCGGCCACAGAAGGCGAACTCGCCGTCTCTGCTTGGATTCATCACAGCGGCGTGAGCCCTCATCAGACACGCCGCCGCCTCCTCCGCCTGGGCCGGCCCCCGCCCCAGAGAGTGCATGTGCGTTCTTACCTCCATGTGCCCCGTGGAACCTTCTGCAGCTCCCATCGCCGTGGTGCCCTGTGCTTGGGCCATGGAAGCTGTTTTTTCCGGTGACTTGGAAAGCAGAAAGAAAAAAAAGAAGAAGAAAAACGAAAATCTCTTAAGGCGTCTTTTTCAATGAGCCCAAGTTCACAGTTTCAGAAAGGCCGCAGAAACAGTGAGCTTGCAACCGAAAAGGATGGAGGTGGTTTCTTCGTGAACAGCGGGCCTAGTGCCTGGGTGTGGGATTTGTGCAGAATGAGGTTCTAAGCCCAGCCACTGTGATTTTAACATTTCTGCTCTTCCAAACAGGGATTTCCCAGGATGTGCCAAGCAGCCAGCTCTGACTAAGAGCCCAGGCAGTGGATTAGCCCGTGTGGTATGTAAATGGCCAGGCAGCTTTCCGGGCAGGGGCAGTGTCCCCGTTGCAGGGGGAAGTTCCTGTAGAAAGCCTGGGCAAGCCCGCCTTCCTCAGCAGCGCCGCCGCCGTGGCTGCGTTGCACTGAACTTCCCAGGGCAGTTAGGTAACTGTTGACTTTTCCACAACTCAGTTACTTGCTTCCCTAAAGGCAAGATTTTCTGGCAATGCCTCATAAATGTGAGCTGAGCTGCGTGAAACTTAATGAGTCACCCATCATCCCATAAGTGCTACTAATTATATGGAACCAAAAATGAAAATCATTCACTGCAGGGGAAAGGCTTATGGTGGGCAGAACTGGTATCTCCTATGTCGGCAGAAGGTTGAAACTGGGCTCTGTGTTTAAGGTTGTCTGTTCCACAGGCGAATCCAGGCTTTCTCCATGACCCACCGAAAGTAAACCATTTCTGGTAGCGACACTTTAGCCTTGCTCAGTGGCCTCTTGTCTCCTCCAGGGCGTTGGGTGATGGGGCACTAGGTGGGTGGGACAAGTGGGCTGGAGAGGGGGACGCTGGGAGCTACACAAACGGCCCGCTGTGGAGCACGAGGCCTCACTCTGGACTTGGGGAAGAGAGAGCGAAAGACAAGGCAAGAAGACAAAGGAGAGGGTGAGCTGCTGCAAGGAGAAATGAAAGAGTCCACGGTCGATCACAGAATCCCCTTTGTCTTTAGACCGCCCTCGAGGCAGCCGCATAGGCCTGGTATAAACCCTAAAACTCCCGAAATGCAGACTCTCTCAGAGGAGTGACCGGGGGTCCCGGAGCTGGCCCTTCCTCGCCTCGTCTGCCACCTCTCCCCACTCTCCAGTGCTTCCTGAGCTCCAGACACACTGAACTCCTTCCTTTTCTCAAACATGATTTTCTCAAAAGATTTTATGTATTTATTTATAGACAGAGGGGAAGGGAGGGAGGAGAGGGAGAAACACATCAGTGTGGGGTTGCCTCTCACACGCCCCCTACTGGGGACCTGGCCTGCAACCCAGGCCTGTGCCCCGACTGGGAATTGAACTGGTGACCCTTTGGTTCACAGGCCAGCGCTCAGTCCACTGAGCCACACCAGCCGGGGCCGAATTCCTTCCTTTTCTTGACATGAGTCCTGTGTCCCCATGCATGCTGCTCTCTCCACCTGGAACGTCCCCCTCTTTGGCCCCCTCCATCCTGGTGGCTGCTGACCCTGTGTGACCCTCTCTGACCAGCCAGGCAGAGCGCCTCAGCTGCCACTCGCGACAGCTTGTCCCCACGTCAGGGTATTCACCTCTGTGCCCACGGTGCGGGCACAGAGCAGGTGGGCAACACATGGTGCTGAATGAACCAACGGACAAACACCTACACACCAAATTTATAGGTGTTCTGCTGTGGGTGTGCGTTTACTTTTTGCTGGTTTCTTGGTCTGTTTTGGATACACCTGAAAAATACAGTGACATTTCCTTAAGGCAACACCCAAAAATACAAGTGGGAAACCAACTATTCTGAGATCTAAAGGAAAACATTATGACTCATATATGCTCTGATTTTAGGGGCCAGAAGTAGAGATTAACCTTGAAAGCTGCTTATCAGGAAAAAAAAAGGCAATAATGTAGAAATGTTTTTCTTCCAAAACACACACACACATACACACTCCCCCCAGTAGTAGAGAGTTCCAGGTCCCCGTCTGTGTCCTCTGTGTGCGCGTGGACAGTGACCCAGGGGAACAGGGTCAGAACCTCCTCCTGCGGGAAGCGCCCTCCGTGGCACTGTTTCTGTGGGTGTTCTCCGGGCAGGTGTCCTGGGCCCTCCCTGTTGCAGTGGGTGCTTCTATCAAACAGAAATGCTCATCACAACCCCCTCGCCTTTTCTCCGTGCAGCTGAACACCCGGTTTTCTGCTAGTCCACAGAGCAGTGTGAACTGGGACTCTTCCGGAAAGCCCAAGTCGGGTGTGAGAGGAAAGGAACTGCCCAGGCCAGGCCTGGGCCCTTTGCGGGACAGGCGCCCTCCTGGCTTCTCGCCACCCACACTCTCAGGTGCGCTGTAGACTCTGTCCAGCTTCGGTCCAATCGAGCTTGGTTTCGTGCGATATCTTACTGGCTTTGGTAACTTCCAGAGAAAGGGACGTGTCACTCCAGGTTTCTAAGGTGATTTGGAAGAGTCCTCACTTCTCAAGTGACTACTGGAGAAGAGGAAAATAGCTAACAGGGAGAGCCACGGTGAAGGCTGACCTCGGGCAAGACGCTTAGCATCTCTGGGCTGCCCCCGATCTCTCACCTGGATGCCTGGTGCTCCTGGCTTCCGCTCTCACTCCCCGCCCCCATCTATGATCCATCCAGAGCCACCGTGAGTCTACAAAATACGTCACCTCGTGTCACTCCTGCGCTCAGACCGTTCAGTGGCTTCCACCTCACCCTGAGCGAAAGCAGAGCTCCTCAGATGGCCCTGGAGGCCCCACATCACAGCACGACATCACTGCAGGAGGTTCTGTCCCTCTCCCGCAGCGAAGAGGGACTTGTCTTCACAGAGATGCGTCCCATGTCTCTCTGCTCCGTGGCCCAGACACACTGCCACTGTGTGACCCTGTCCCACACACTCCCTGCTCTCTCTGCCAACAGCTCTCTTTCCCCTGGACGCTCATGCCCTCACCTTCGGTGGGTGGTTGTTCAAACCGCCTCTCTTTAGGGGGACCTTCCCCGGCCTCCCTCTTTGGAAGCGCGCTCCATCCCTGCACGTCCTGCCTTTGCAGAAATCTTTCCCACAGGACACACGAACGTTCCTCTTTGTTCTTGACCCCCATCGCTAGACGGTAACTCCACAACAGCAATCTTCATCTCTCGGGTTCATTCCATATTTCTCAAACCCAAAACAGTGTCTTGGCCAATACGCACGGTGCACAGACATCCAGAAAGCCCCGAACTGCTCCTGTTGTCACTGCTGAGTCATTCGTCCTCTCAGGGGCTCACAGAAGATCTAACGATCAGAAGACCCGAAGACCTTAGGGACTCGGCCTCTGTGTTTGGCTCCAGTGATGTGCCTCTTATACAATGGAGTTCAAGGTGGGCACACAAAGCAAGACGTGTACCTGGGAGTCATTGCAACAGAAGCCTTTGAAATCTTCCTCTGAATGGAGGGAGGGGCAGTCAGAGTAGCCATGGGGTCACCCTGGCTCTGGGGATGTTTTGGAAAACACAATCTGGCCTCTTCATGAGCTAATCTGTTTAGACTGGATGTTGGACTATAACTTTACAAGTAGAAGCCTAAAAGCAAGCAGACGAACTTATAGATAAGAGAAAGGCCACGGTGAGATGTCGCCTCACACCGGTCTGAATGGCTGTCATCAACAATCCGCAAACAGATGTCAGTGAGGACGTGGAGAAAGGGGACTGTCACACAGACTTGTGTGGCCACTGTGGAAAGCAGTACGGAGTTTTCTCAAAAAATAAAAACGGGACCGCCTCATGACCCAGCGATTCCACTTCTGGGAATTCATCTGAAGAAATTGAGATCACTGATTTGAAAGAATATACGCACCCCTATGTTCATTGCAGCATTATTTACAATCGCCAATGTATGGAAGCAGCCCGAGTGTCCATCAGTAGACGAGTGGATAAAACAACTGTGGGACATTACACAATGGAATACCACTTGGCCGTAAAAAAGGAAATCTTACCCTTTGTGACCACGTGGGTGGACCTGGGGAACATTATGCTGAATGAAATGAGCCAGTCAGAGAAAGACAAACACCGTAAGATTTCACTCGTATGTGAAATCTAATGACCAAACTGAACAAACGAGGAAAATGGGGACAGACTCATAGATGGTGAGCAGATGACAGCTCGGGGGGGGGGGGAGGCGAGGGGGGAGGGACAGAGCAGAAAGGGAAAAGGACTCATAGATACAGACAACAGTGTGGGGATTGTGGGGGAGGGGGTGTATGGGGACTGAATGGTAATGGGAAAAAATACAACAAAAATTTTAAAAACGTAAAAAAAGAAATAGGAAGGAGAAAATCAAAAGCTACAGAGCCCATTCAGTGACCTCACCCGGGCTGCACGCGGTGACCCTCCGACACCACGAGGGCAGCAGTGGACTGAGCAGGTGGGGCCCCTCGCTCCCGGAACGTGCAACAGTGTTTCTGCCAAGGACCGAGACGTCCCCGTGGGATGTGAACGGGCGTCACATGGCAACGCAGCGCAGAGCAAAGACTCCTCAGCTACCGGTGCTGAAACTAGATGGTGGGATTCGAAGAGGAAGCCGGCAATTTTACGAGGAAAACAAAGGAAACGTCGAGGCTTCGGCAAACCCTCCAATGAGGGCAGCGGTGGTGATTACAGGGCTGTGTTTCTCCCGCCTCTGCCCTTACCCGGAGCATCCGCATTCCCCCCACTTTGCATTCTTGTCAGATCCCACTTTACAGATGAGAAAACGAGGTTTTGATCGTCAGAATTTCATTTTGGTCCAGGAGAGCTAGTTCAACTTTTAAAAAAAGGGAAATAAAAATATGGAAACTGGATTTCATTTTTTCAGCAATGTGGTTCCAGAAAACATGTGTCATCTTACTGTAGCTGCAAGGAGTTTTTCCTCGGGCTGTTCGAGAGTCGTGAGGTCACATCACTCTCTGGACCTCCGAGACATCCTCTCAGGGCTTTTCCCCTCCAGAATAACGCCCGGATCCAAGCTCTGAAAAGCCAGTTTGGGGTGCTGTCTCTTAGTTAAAATCAGAAAGACAAACCAGAACCCAAGGGC